TAACAGAACAATGACCCAAGGATAGAGGTGGGAACATTATACACAACTTCAGGGAAGGCCTCTTTGGGTTGAGATCCTATTGACAAGAAGGAGTAAGTTGTGCTAAGATCTAGGGGAGGAATGTTCCAGGAAGAAGGAACATCAAGTGCAAAGGCCCTGACCAAGATATCCTTCATGTGTCCCTCAGCTTTTTTAAACTTTAGACAGGCTTCTGCCTGACTCTAGGCCCTGATCTCCTTTTTCTTAGAGCATTTAGTTTAAAAAATTTGTCATTGTAAATTCTTTCTTTGCCCCTTCGAAGTGTATGTAAATCTTTTAAAAGCCCCTTGCCAATTTTATAACCCAGGAAACATCTTTCTCAAGGACCTGAAAGTCATCTCTTAGCCATGTAACCATCAAAGGAGACAGCACCACTATCTCCTAATTTCTGTGGGAGGGTAGGAGCCTAACTTCATTGGTACCTGCTTCAAGTTGTACAACTGCCTCCTGTCGTAAAGACAAGAGAAGTTTACTTTTTCTGTGAATAAAACTAATTAGCTCTCACAGATGGCCTAAGCTCTCCCTCTCACTCCAGCCTTTAAAACCCTACTACTCTCTGTTTCAGCAGAGTTAAGACTTAGTAACCAAAATGTTTGCACACCCATAATATTCTGAAACAAACAAACAAACAAACAAGAATATATATTATAAAAAGCAAAAAAAAAAGAAAAAGAAGACTTAGTTCTGGCCTCTCTCCCCTATTGCCATAGCCTTGAATAAAATCTTTCTTTTCTTTTTTTTTTTTTTATTTCAGCATATTACAGGGGCACAAATGTTTAGGTTACATATATTGCCTTTGCCCCATCTGAGTCAGAGCTTCAAGTGTGTCCGTTCCCCAGATGGTGCACACTGGGAAAAGAATCCTTATTCAATAAATGATGCTGGGAATAAAGTCTTTCTTGCCTGTTTAACTGGTGCAATTTTTGCTTTGACAGCTCTGTGGTGGGAACAACTTCAGCATGTTTATTGTAAGAAAAATAGCAGGTCCATGTGGATATAAAGTTCTGAGTGAGGATGAGTGTATGAGATGAAGTTAGAGAGATGCAGGGGCCAGACCAGGTAGGATCACCTGTGTTATGATAAGGAGTTCGGAATTTGTGGGAAATTATCAGAAGTTTTTAAGCAAGGGAATAATATGCTTTTCCCATTCATTTTGGTTATACAAAAGTTAAAATGCTTTGGAATCTACTTCTGTCTAACACTAGAACTTGTTTATTATAGTAGAGCAGAAGGAAAAGGTGGTGATTAAACAAGTTGATACAATAATCTAGACAAGACTTCCTGGGTTCAAATTACAGCTTTATTATTTACTAAATATGTGACCTTGGCAAGTCACTTAAGCCAACTTTGCTTCAGTGCCTTCACTTGTAAACTAAAAAGCTAATATATACAAACCATGCAGAGTTGTTATTAGGTTAAATGAGTTAACATAAATAAAATTCTGGGGGGGGCGGGCACTGGTGAAGGGTGAATATTTAAAAGATTTTAGAGAACAGCACAAGTTCTAGTTTTAGAAGTAGATTCTGAAGCATTTTAACTTTTTTATTTGTGCTTGTAGTTATTATTTTACCTCCTGTGTTCAGAATAGAAACCAGTTCTGATTTACATCTCATTTTCATTCTATTAAACAATCCAGTGTCACTCTGGATTGACTTCTTTTTTTTTTCTTGTAGAAACCAAAACTAATTATATCTCACATTCACTCTAGCCACTGAGAATTTTAGTACCAATACTGG